ATTAAAAAAAAAATTAACCCTATACTTTGCCAAGTGGCTCATGGCTTTTTACCTCATTTTCTACACGTCCCGCTTCCTTGGCTGGCTGGCATCTCCTTGACTCGGCGTTTCTTCCTCCCAGCAGTCTCAGTTTGGCTGTTCCACCTATATATTTTGCCTGGCTACTGGCCAGTAAGCATTTTATTAAACCAATTTGAGTAACAGATCTTTACAGTTATACGAAGGGAGTAGTCCACAGTGTGTGTGAAAGAGTGTCCTCATGCCATAGAGCCTGTGGCAGCCAGAGCACAAGATGCAGGAGTTAGTTCTCTCCTTTTTTTTTTTTTTTTTCCCTGAGACAGGGTCTCACTGTAGCTTAGGAGCCTGTCCTGGAACTAGCTCTTGTAGACCTGGCTGGCCTCAAACTCACAGAGATCTGCCTGCCTCTGCTTCCTGAGTGCTGGGATTAAAGGTGTGCACCACCACCGCTGGCTATTTCCCTTCTTTTACCACATTTATTCCTGGAATTTAATTCAGACTCAGGCTTGGCAATCAATTATCTTTACTCACAGAGCTGTCTTGCCAGTCCAATTCTTTTTTTTTTTTTTTTTTTGCTTTTAAGAATTCATATTGGTAGTATATTATTAAAGATGAGGTTTTGCTCTTTTTGTTTTTTGAGACAGGGTCTCACTGTGTAGCCCAGGTTGGCCTGGAACTCATTGTGATCTTTTGCCTCAGATTCCTGAGTGCTTGTATTATAGGCATTCATCTTCAGCCCTGGAAATGATGAGTGTCTGTAAGACTTTAAGACAATCCTGAAGCCATTCCTGACAATTTTGAATCCTCTCAGCCTCTGTGCCATAGTGCTTCCCCTCCTCCCCAGGAACCAAGGACCTAACAGCTACACATGCACGTATTCAGTTCCTGAACAATTACCCATATATGTATGTTTTGATTCAGTCTCCTGGGAAACGGGGTCAAAATGACCTCTTACCTCATCTGATCTGGCAACAGCTCTCCAGCCAATTATTGGTAATAGCCCTTTTAAATTAGCCAGTCACAACCCCCCTTGATTTTTGTGGCCTTCGCTTTTAAAAGTAGCCTGTGCCATCTATTCGGGGTCTCTCGGCTTCCCGAATGCTGGGGGACCCTGTCATGACAGAATTAATAAAATCCTCATGCTTTTGCATCGGCTGTGGTGTGTGAGGTGGTCTCTGGGGGCGACTCCTTCTCGATGTTTGGATGCTAGAGTCCAACGGTTTGAAGATTATTCACAAGGACACAGGAGGATGAGCAGTCCAGCATGTGTGTGTGTGGGCCACTGTCCCGTTTCCAAGAGAGAGTGAGTGTAAGGTTTTAGAAAAATGTCTTAGGGTTGAGGGGGCTTACAAATGCATTTAGAAGCTTTCACAATTCCTAGCATCACCAATAAACAAATGATTCCTTTACAAAATGACTTACCCCAGGTAGCATCATCTTTTTGTTGTGATACCATAGCTGTGTGGAGCCAGTCAGGCTGTAGGTTTATTTTTTTTTTTTTCCTCTTTTGAGACAGGGTTTCTTGGCTGTCTTGGATGTCACTCTTTAGACCAGGCTGGCCTTGAACTCACAGAGCTGTCTCCAGAGTGCTGGGATTAAAGGCGTGTGCCACCATGTCCAGCAAGGCTATGGGTTTTTGATGACTACTAGCCGTGTTGTTTTTTACTTGTTCTCATTAAACATAGTTTGCTTGAAAAACCTTTTGTTGCCTCATCTCCACTGTCTCCAACTGTAGGTTCATGCTGGGCCTTTGTTTTGTACCTAGAATTCCTCGCCACCCTTTCTTTGTGTCTCTTTGGAATTGCGGACTTCACTATAACCCTGCACCTCCATGCTCATTGCCTTCTAGACAGTGATATCCTGGAATGCCTGCATCCTTCTTAACTAGCCTACACTGGGGATATCAGTTTATTGCTTATAACCCCTAACCTAATACCCAGTACATGGGAAGTGCTAGCTAAACATTTGCTGATTGAAAGAATGTTTTTCTTTTCTTTTTTATACTTTCAGACACGCAAGAAACAGAAGGAAGATGTGGAAGGTGTAGGAACCAGTGATGGAGAAGGGGCCACTGGGCTTAGCAGTGACCCCAAAAGCCGGGAACAAATGATTAATGATCGAATTGGTTATAAACCCCAACCTAAGCCCAACAACCGCACATCTCAGTTTGGAAACTTCGAGTTTTAGAGATGAATTCTGCATGCCAGACCTCTGGAATGAAATAAAATGATGTCAGAGAATTTAGAGAATTAAGTGTGTATAACCAAGGAGAATGTTTTCTGTCTTCTACAGAGAGGAATAATGTCTGCATGAAATTACTGCTGTTCAACTTTCCTGATAAGCTAGAAGCCAAATTCTGGCTTGTTTCTGGAAAGTTGAACTGTGGAAAATTTACCTGATTTTTGTTTTTAAAATTAAATATATTTTTGGAAAAATGCGAGACATCCCTAAAAGTAGTAGCAATGAAGTTCCCAGTTCTGAGAGGTAAATGCTGCCAGAGGTGATGTCATCCCTCCTTGTCTTTACAAAAGGACCCCGAACCCGCAGTTTATCCCCGAACTTTCACTTCACCCATTTATTCAGTATTTGGTGACTGCTGACCATCCTGCAAGCAACAGAGATTCCAGATGAGCGTGTTCATGCCTATAACCTAGCACTTGGAAGGCTGAGGTAGGAGTCTCATGAGTTGGAGGCTAGTCTGGGCAACAGAGTAAAATCTTGTCTCAGAATGTCTAAAACAAACCAAACCAAGACAAAGACTCCTACCCTCATGGAGATTGGATTCTAATGAACAAACAAAACGAAGAGTCAGATTCATTTACAGAAAGACTTTATACAGCGAGGGAAACACGGACATTTCCAACAGCACGGGACACTCTAATTCTTCTTCCTTTGGGATGCATCTGAGTATCTGTGCAGCAGGAACCCGTCTGATCTCTGGATACTTTTGCACCATGCCCCATTTTACCATAAAATTTAGGGACAGAAGTACTGGCTGTGGAAGCCAGAACATCTGGAATCAAGTTTCAAAGAGACTCATTAGCTGGGTTTTACCTAGGCTTTTGGATAGTTCCTGAGTGATATAAATAGGAAGGTAGAGATAAAAGGGAATTGTGTAGCTTCCTCTTCCTGCTCCACACTTTTTACAAAACCTTTATTCCAGTTTTATTGTTGACCCCTAAGTCCTGTTATCTGTTTTAAAAAAAACAATAAAACCCAAGACACAGGCCATAGATTGGGGACTCATGTTATTGCAGCCTGCAAAGGCCTTATAGAAGGGCAAGGAGAAAAAGCGTCTGCCTGCATCAGTCAGTCTCCCTCTCTACTGCAACTCTCCAGTAGGGTTTTCCACAGTTGTTTTTATGTTTCTGCATGTTTTGCCTTTTGTACTGATAGTTGGCATGCAGAGGTCTGTGTAAGACAGTGCTGAGTGACTCATGCAGACACCCTTAACTCCTGAGATGGAACCAGAGCTCATCCATGGAGTGGTAGGTAGGAGATTTGAACCCTGGGCAGTCTGCTTTCCAAGCCCTTGCTTCTAAATGGCCTTTACTATATTGCTTTCTTAGTGTTCTTGTCTGAAAGCAGTGTGTGGGGAGAGAAGTTTCTATTTTCAGCTTTCCAAAAATCTCCATGTTTTCTTATTTATCAGTAGACTAGGACTTAACTACAATTGCTAATCTTTTTGGACACAACTACATTATATGTTTCAATTCTGTGTTCCCTAGGATCTGTTCATTTCGAGATTACCAGTACCCAAAAGGTTAGTCAGGTGCTTGTAATGACACTGACCTTACTCAGAAGAGCGACCTTTCATTTCCTATGTCTTCAGGGACAGAATAATCAATAGATAGTAAAAGCTTAATATGGCTTAGATATGCCTGTCTTGTATGGGGTACCTTATCCATATTGCTTTTAACTTAAATTAAAAGGTGCTATTACTCCTTTGTATATGTGAGTGTACACACGAGGCATGCTAGGGATCGAACCCAGAGCCTTAGAAAGGCACACTAGTCAAGCATTCAGCCACTGAACTGTACCCATAGCCATTTGTTTCTGCAACAGTCCATCTCACTGTGTTACAAGTCCGGGCCAGACACTGCTCAAGTTATGCCCATCTGCAGCCCTCTCTATCTCCACCTTCATGTCTGGTTCTGAGAGATCCCTGCTGCTACAGAGACAGACACACTGTGGAGCATCTGTAAACACAATACCCAGGTGCTGGGATTCCACTTTGTTTCCCTAGGAGACTTACAGACCAGGTTGCTAGGCCGGAGGCCATTAGAGGTCTTCTGGTGGGGGCACATCTGCTACCTGTATGTGCCCCTCCTCCTCCTCACTTCTATCTCCAGAGTGCTGCATTCCTTTGGAATTCCCTCCCTCTCCCTGCTACCAAGAATTAGAGATAGTCTGACTGGAGCTGAGGCCTGAACTCTCAGACCTTGTCATGTTGCTGTCTGAATTTTCATGCTGTTAGTAACTCTTAATAAAATTCTTGCCCAAAAGGAAAATCGCCGTGTTCCCCTGTACCCCCAAACTGAAGACTGGCTATTTGGAAACTACTTTGTGTAGACAGATATGCATGGACTCACAAAATCAAGATGTTTATTTTGTTCTCTTGCGCACACAACACTTAAACCATTCCCGTTCCACCAATCCTGCTCTCTGGGAGCTCACAGTCTCGGAAACAGTCAATGTGAAATGTAGAGCCAGTGTTTAAGGCATTACGTCAAATGCAGACTTGTCATTTAGAAGACCCTAAGGAAGTGGCATAAATGATACGATGTATGCCCTGCCTCACTTTCCTGATTCTAGTAAGGAACCTAGGCCCACAGTCTGAAAGAGAGTTTGGGACAACCTTACCATAGTAGTGAAACTCTGATGGATTGCTGAGGAGGTTTCACATGTGGGCAATGGGGTGTTGAGTGTTCTTCCATTTTGGATCTGTAACTCTGGAGAAAGGTGGTAATCCTTTAACTGGCTTTATAGAAATTCTAATGGGGCGACTGCTTCTTTTTTTTTTTATTTTTTATTTATTTTTTATTTTTATTTTTCGAGACAGGGTTTCTCTGTAGCTTTTTGGTTCCTGTCCTGGAACTAGCTCTTTGTAGACCAGGCTGGCCTCGAACTCACAGAGATTCGCCCGCCTCCCGAGTGCTGGGATTAAAGGCGTGCGCCACCACCGCCCGGCTAGGGCGACTGCTTCTTGAAGCAAACTTAAGACCTCTACCTGGTTTGTAAATACCAACTTCTAATTGGTATGATAAATGTAACCACAGCATTGAATGTCTACTGCATCAGGAAGCAGATTTTTGTTGTTGTTGTTGTTGTTTTGTTTTGTTTTTCAAGACAGGGTTTCTCTGTGGCTTTGGAGCCTGTCCTGGAACTAGCTCTCTAGACCAGGCTGGTCTTGAACTCACAGAGATCCGCCTGCCTCTGCCTCCCGAGTGCTGGGATTAAAGGCGTGCACCACCGGAAACAGATTTAAAAACTAAGCTGCCTGGGATAAAGACAGAAAGGGAAAAGTAGGCAGGTGCTAAAGAAATCCAGACACATAGGAGCTGGGCATTAAAGTTCAAGAGCATATGATTTAAGCTTTACCTCTTCCTGTACTAACCACACCCTCTAGAACCTAGTCTGGGATCTCAAGTGCAGGTTTTGTAGTAGACTGCTTCTAACCTGAATCTCCCCTGAAGAACCATGTCAGAGTGAGGTTTCTCTTGGTTTCAGACTCATAGCACCTTGTCCTAACTGGCCTTGGTTCTTCTCACCTCACTGATAAGGTCCTGTTTCTCTTAGTGTATGCTTTATTTTTAGGATTTTTGGGGTTAAACAAGGCTATGTTTAACCTGACTTATGCTAGAGAAGTGATCCATATCTGAGCTGCATCTCAGCCCCTGGAAGGTGTTTTATGGCAGCTTATCTGGAGATCTCTAGAAAGCACCAGGGTCACTACTATGTGGTTTCTGTCTTGCCCTGGGTTTATTATCCCTTGGCTTCTGAGATAACAACAGGCGATTTGCACTGTAAAGTTGGGCTCTGTCAGTACCTGTCATTCACTGTGCAAGACTGAACTAAGAGAAAAGCAAAGCTCTAAAGTTAATTTCTTAGATTTTTTTAGCCTTCATCCAGTAGGCTTATAACCCTTTCTTGGTTCAAAGCCACCAAAGTATATATTCCTTGTTCTCCGATGTTTAATTGGCACCCGTAGAGAGAAAGTACAAACTTCAGAATCACAATACTGGGCCAACAAGATAGCAGGTTTGTTTCTTCTGCTCCGAGGCACAACTGGATCTAGCACCAAAGAGGGCAGGGCATAACAGACTAGCATAGGAAGAATCACTTTGAAGAGGTAGTTTGGGAACAAGCCTGCAGACTAATGATTGACAGAACATGCAGTGGGATTTATTGAGAAAAGGGGTTTTGGCCACCGTGATCTATGCAAGTGTGTTGTGAGCACACATAAAGGACTAGAGACTTTGTATACATGTGTGCACTCTGGCTATAGTCCACACGAGTGTGTTGTGAGCACACAGAAAGGACTAGAGACTTTGTATACACGTGTGCACTCTGGCTATAGTCCACACGAGTGTGTTGTGAGCACATAAAGGATTGAGACTTTGTATACATGTGTGCACTCTGGCTATAGTCCACACGAGTGTGTTGTGAGCACACAGAAAGTGTGTCTGGAGCTAAATAAAAGTTTGTGGAATGACTAAGTATTAGCCAGCAGCATTTAGGTGTGACACATGCCCAAGACATACCACCTACCAACCAGCAGTTCAGATTCTCATGCTGGATACCAGGTAGCCCCATCCTCTGTCCCTTCCAGGTACAGCTTTGCTATTTTAATGCCAACTTAGGGCAATCCTCTAGACTGTCATCAGAAACATCACTTAGAAACTTAGAAATGCCAAATTTGGTAGCACTAGGATTGAGGTCCACCAAGTATTGTTTTAACAAGAAGCCTTCTGGGTAACTCTGAAACATTCTAAAGTTTGAAAATCATTTGTTTCGAGGAAAACACACAATAATAGGAAAAAATTACAAAGTTTTGCTTTGTTCATTTGGGACAAATCAATGTCTGAGTCAAAGGAAAATGCCAATGGTTTTATTTAACAATCTCTATTTCTATAGTCTCAAATTGATTGTTCTGTTTTTGTTTTGATTGGTAAGTTCATTTCTAATCAAAGTGTTATGTGGAAACACAGTTGATGAAAGAGCAAGAATACCTACTCCACAAACTCGCTGCCTGTAGCCCCTGACCACTCTCCACACTCTACCAGTACTTTGGTTAACACATCACACCTAGAGAAAGGCACTATGTGTTCCCACTCACTGAATTAAGCTGAGATTATTTTCTAGTATGAAACTGAAGTCCCAAGTTGGGTGAGATGTCCCTAATTACCATCAATCCTTTTCTATCACTGACACAGAATTCCACCCACACATTATCTATTTAAAACAAAAATACACAAAACCCCCAAAACAGAAAAAAAAAAAAGCAGATAACCAAGTCATTAACTAGGAAGCTACCTGGATTAGACAAGGCTCAGGATTATGAGGGAGAAGACATCCCGCAGGTGACTTCTCAAGAGAAATGTCAATTTCATCTTATTAGAAGAACCACTACTCAGAGACAGTCAACTAAGCCTCTATTCAGTAAGTGTGTGTGCATAGAGACAGGAGAGAGAGGGATGATTGGAGAGGGAATCATATCTTTCGGTCCCAAGATGCTCCCACAGCAATCGCTAAGGCCACACGTGGAGTCTGATGTTAATGGCAATGCTCTGTGATGTCCACCACCACTGCCTTCTTCCAGCTGAAGAGAAAGTATCCTGTCCCTGCCCCTGCTGCTACTGCGATGCATAGGTACCCATTGTAGGTCATGAAGATGAGCATGAGGAAGTAGCTGATGACCACCTGGATAATGTGCAGCACTGTCTGCAGGAGGTGGGGGAAGCTCAGCATCTGCTGCCTGGGGAGTAAACAGAGACAGCAAAGTCAGACTTGGGAGTCTGCAGGTCAAGAGAACAGCTAGCTGCAGCTGTTAGCACAGCATTCCACTGGACTGCACCACAACTAACCTGGAAACTCAGCGTGCATGCGTGTGTGTGCGCGTGTGTGTATTTGGCAAGACAGAACTTTCAATTTTCCTCAAGCCGGTCTCAAGTTCACTATGTAGCCAAGAATGGCCTTGAATTCTGATCCTCCGGCTTTCACAGTGCTGGGATTACAGGCAGACATCATGCTTGACTAGAGTTAACTCTCGACAGAAAGAAATCAATTGCATTCTGCCATTCTTTTTATATCTTGACCATACATTCTTAAAATGACCTCTACTATTTAGAAAAGATTTTAAAAAAATGGATTCCTTTCAACTTCTCCCAAAGTGGCAAACACTTGCAACTTAGAATAACATGTAAGTAAGTGCCTTTGCAGACTGCGAGTCCAATAACCCACAAGTGGGAACTTCTAAAGTTACATGGAATTGACAACTCAGGAAGAAGAAAAAATACGTGCTTTGTTAAGACAGCTCTCTAGAACTTTCATTTGGATCTGTTCCATCTTACCCAACAGTTTTGTGTGTCTCCATAAGGATGGTTCCGTTTGGTCCTGGGACAGGCATGGAATTGTAGCGAATGCTGACTTGAGACTTACGCAGCAGACCTTCTCTGGCGATCTTGAGTCCTTCATAAAACATTGCTAGTAAAAACACGGCTACGAAAGCTCCAGCCATCTCTAAGGAAGGAAGGGGAGGAGGAGGTAACTGTACAGTCAAAATGATCAGCCAGCGTGCTGCTGGGTCCAGTGGCACTGGTTCATGTTTTCACTCTGTCATACTAGCCGTGCAATTCACTATATGAATGAAGCTTATTTATCTGTAAACAGGCGGTTGTTTTGAGGCAGTGTCTATGTAGTCTGGCTATCCTTGAATTCTCTATGTAGAGTAGGCTGGCCTTGAACTCTAAAACATCCTCCAGCCTCTCAAGTGCTGAGATTAAAGGTATTCACTACCATACCTGCCAAGACTAACAGTTTTTAACCTAGGGTTACACTGTAGTATTTGATATGCTTCTAGTCTTAAGCCTAGGACCAATAACAACTTAGCAAACAAGAAAAGGATTGTAGAAGATGTTTATCTGACATTTTAATTATTTTTCAGTGCTCCAAAAACATATATATGAATTTAAGGAAGCTTGCTGGAGGATCAGAAACAATAGTACGTATTCCATCTTCTGACTGGGGAATAGGAATCATGACGGCTATGTAGCACAACCACACTGATCTGGTAATAGGACAGAAAGAGCTGCTGATTTCCAAATCTATGTCACCATGTGATCGTTATCTTCAAAGATGACCCATGGTTACTCACCTCCAGGTGTGTTGATTACCAAACCAGAGAACAAGAGTTCCACATTCTTAAAGCCAAAGTAGAAGGTCATATTCTGCCAGAAAACCAAAACAAGTCAGTCAGAGAAGACTGAAGACCTTATTGAGAATCTTGGGCAAAGAGGCTTACAGTAACACATCTAGACAAGAAGAAATACTTGAAGCAGTGGGAAGCTTTCCTATTATGGGCACTGAGAGTTCCCCCAGACCTCACCCCCATCTCATGACCTTTTCTCTTTTCTATATAAAACACAAACACCAGGACTTAATTTAGGGAAGGGTGGATTTCAAAAGAAACGATTAAAGAAATAATTGTAGAAAATCTTGGTTCTGGTGTCACTTGGTATGTTGCCACATGAATACAGGCAGACCACCTGACTTGCAGGGCGGGATCTGCTTTAGTTCCCCTCTTTGATAACCCCCAGTGCTAATCCCATGTTTCTATTATCCAAGTGTGTGGGCAAGGACACTCACCATCATCATGCCGTCACCGTGGACGTGTGAGGCCGAGGTGGTTGGGTGATGGTGAGGTGGCATGGTACTGTTGCTGTCCATGTGGGTCATCCCCATATGGTTCATCCCCATGTGGTTCATCCCCATATGTTCGGAAGGATCCAGTTTTCCAGAAAAAGATGTCAGTCAGCGGAAAAGTCTTTTAAGAAAAACAATTATATATTAAGGACATATTTTCTTGATAAACACTTTGTCTATATAGAACTTTGCCCAGTGAACAAATGCCTTCTGAGATACAGAAGTAACTTGGACTACTAGGGATCACCTTTGAGATCGAAGGACAAAGAGTAAAGCCTCTTCAGGGTGCAGGAAATAGATAATTTGAAATAATTTATAAGTGGGAGCCATTAACAAAATGTAACTGCTCTAAGGCTTTCTAATGATAAACATGAGTAGATAAAAAGCCACAACCTCAGATAATTCTCCTAATTGGGATGGCCTGTGTTTAACCAGGATATTTGGAGTCCACTTAGAGCACAATCAGTTTTGAGCTCTGGAGAAAGGTCTACTGTGGCCTCAGGCAAGGAATGTGCCCAGCTGTCAGACACAATTTTAGTCCCACCAGGACATCAGAGTTAAGAACACGAAAAAACAAGGTATAAAATGGATGGTCTATATTAACTTTAGACACTGCATAGTCAGCCTGCATCTCTGCACCACGCTAATGCTGTACTGCAGAAGTCAACCTGAGTCAAGGCACAGTAGTTTCCATAGCTGCTGTGCGGGCAGAGGACTGGGAAGTTGGGACACAATGTGCACAGAGAGATATGTTCATAAAACCTGTCTTTTTTTTTTTTTTTTTTTTTTTGTAAGACAGGGTTTAGCCTGTCTGTGTAGCCCTGGGTGTCCTGGAGCTTACTATGTAGATCAGGCTGGCCCTGAACTCTGAGATCTGTCTTCCTTTGCCGTCCTGAGTGCTGGGATTAAAGGTGTGCATCACCATTGACTGTAAACACCTATCTTTTTTCTAATTTGCATTTACTTTTATTTGTATGAGTGTTTTGTGTGCATGTATGAATGTGTATCACTCGTGTGCAGTGCAAGAGGAAGCCAGAAGAGGGTGTTGGATTCCTTGGAAATGGAATTACAGATGGGTATGAGCTACCATGTGGGTGCTGGGAAGAGATCCTGGGCCTATGAGAGAACAGCGAGTTTGCTTGTCCTCTGAGCTCCGGTCTAGCTCCTGAAATCTCTTTCTGTGTTCCTCAACTCCAGGATGTAGAAGAAATTCAAAGTAGGAGCAGGACATGGTGGTGCAGGCCTGTAATCTCAGCATCAGGAGGTTGAGGGAGAAATAGCCAGAGTCTGAGGTAAGCCTGGGCTACAAGTGAGACCCTGTCTCAAAAAAGGAAAAAGAAATTCCAATTAGGTCTCCAGGATCTTGAGTCTGAGTATGTGTCTGATGACTCAAGCTCCTATCAGGGCCAAACTCAGAGCTAAGTACGAGTAGTTCGACAGCAGATAAGGGAAGAACCTGACAAGGAGGGAAGTGAACAGGAGTTTCATGGTGTAATTAGCACCATGAAGGCATCAATGCATAAACAGGGTAGCATGACATCCTAAGATGTGGAGAAGAGATGCAGCTCAACTAGGAAGTTTACAGCCAGGAAAGTACGTGTCTAACTCAAGAACACAAGTTTTGAAGCCACCTTTGCCTCAACTGCTACCCCATGACTCTATGACAGTAGGCTTACATAATTCTATCCCACAGGCATAATCAAAGTTCCACGTTCAACTTCGGTAACTGTCATTCTGGACTCTATGTTATCACTACAGAGTTGACAATCTACCTGGTCCTCTTAACACCACTGTTATGGTATGAAGATGTTGAGCAGCGGTTTTGCTCATGAAAATTTCATAATAAATACCAAATAACAACATATAAAATATTGAGCCCACAAATGCCAATGATGAGACAAAATTGATCAGCAGTTAGCAGTTTTCCTTTAAAAAAAAAAGAGATTATGGCCAGGTGGTGGCGGTGCAGGCCTTTAATCCCAGCGGGAGGCAGAGGCATGCTACTTTCTGTGAGTTCTAAGCTAGTCTGGCTTAGAAGAGCTAATTCCAGGACAGGCTCCAAAACTACAGAGAAACCCTGTCTTGAAAAACCAAAAATACATAAATACATAAATAAATAAATAAAATTAAATAAAAAAAGAGTCAGAATGACTAATACAGACATGCAAACAGGAGTTATAAATTTTATTTTCTTTCATTGCAAGGCTGGAAAATAAGATTAGAAAAGCATAAAAGATAACTTCATTCCATGTTATCGACAGGAATCCAGGTCATGGACAGGCAGGGGGAGATAAAGAAATGAGTCAGACCAATCTTCCTTTAGACTGAAGAGTGGAAGGGGAAGCTGAGCAGGCACACCTCACGACGTGGTCTCTTAAAAGAGCAGAGCACAGCACCACAAACTACTCGAGCCCTACGCCCTTATTTCTTTGAACTCTGATAACACTGTTTTCAGTAATAATATTTGAGGACCTGGAGGTTTCCTTTTATTCAAGCCTTATGTACCAATTAGAGAAATCTGTGTACACATTATCAGAAACCCTTCAGATAGATCAGTGCCTTAGGAATTCAAGCGTTCAAAGCTCAAGAAAAGCTCTAAACTGTGCACCTGCCCCGCAGTGCCGTGTGTAGGCTGCGGTGCACATTCATCCACACCAGGGAAGAGAGCAGGAAGAGAACCAGCTTGTTTTTCTTGTAGTACACAATAGACTTCTGTAATGGGAACCTTCTGCAAGGCTTACCCAGTGGGGTCTGGACAGGGAGGAAATCATCAGATAAACAGTGTAGCTGAAACGCCAACCTGGTGCACTAAGCTGCTTCTGATTGCTGTAGCTCAGGGACACAGAATTTGCTTTGCATGTGTGAGGGCTTTGAATGTGACCCTAACAGTGACTGGGTGAGATTAGGAAAAATCCCACAGGTCTATGTCAAACTAAAATTATATATATATAATTTATATTATACATATAATCATATATATCAGGAAGAACTCAGAAATTATTATTTATGGAAACACAATGTATAAGGGCTGCAGCTAACAGCTCGGTGACAGAGCTCTTGCCTAGCACTGCTGAGGCCCCCAGTATTAATCACCAGCACGGCAAAAACATTCTGTTTTATTTATTTTTTAAAAATTCTGTATCTTTATTTACTTTTACTGTATGAATGTTTTGCCCTGAATGTATGTTCATGTATGTATGTATGTATGTTCACATGTGTGCGTGGTCCCTGTGGAGGTCAGAAGAGAGCATCAGATCCCCTGGAACAGGACATAAAGTGGCTGTGAACCACTGTGTGCTGGGAATTGAACTTGGGTCCTCTGCCAGAGCAACCAGTGCTCTTAATCACTAAATCACCTCTCCAGGTCCCTTAAATTTTAAATCATAATATGTAAATGCCAGTCTATATTTTTTTCTGCCAACTTAGCTTTTCAGCGATATGCCATGTGTCTGGATAACCGACTGTACACGCAAAAAAAACCAACCAAACAAAAAATAACAAAAAAACCCGAAACAACAAAGACAACAATAACAACAACAACAAAAAACCCAAACAAAACCAAACCAAACACACTTAACCCATTCATTCCCTCTAGAACAGAAATTCTATTCATAGGCAGAAAAATGGTATTTGTTGGTTTTCCTCTGATAAAGTTGATCCAAGCTCGGTTTACTCTAGAATGAAAATGGATACTGACAGAAGAAGACTAAGTCAGAACCCAGAGGCACACAATCTGAGGGGTCTGACCTCATGCAATCCGGGCTGGCTGGCTGTTTGACTTATTCATGTCGTGCTTCCCGAACTCCACAGCAGCTTGCTCTCTAAGAATTGTTTTTTTTGTAATTTAGTTCCACCCTTACCACCTATTTCTAAGAACTGGGCTCAAGGTCCACAAAGCAATTGGTATACATTTTACAGAATCAAGTTCTCTGTCATAAAGCAATTAGTGGAACCTGAGGGAGGGCAATGATGAGTAAGAGGCGGAACTTTAAATCTCTGCCATAAAGCATTGATTCAATGGGTTTCTGTTTGGACACACTATGAGCATATGGTAAGTCATGCTAAAACTCAACTTTTTCTTTGCTCCTTATTCTCTATCATTTCTTCAGGTTTACATGTTATTTATAAAGAAGAAATAACAAAACATGGATAGAACAGAAAAACAAACAAAATCCTTGATTCTTAACTGATAAAATCTACTTGCAATACTGTTATGTTACTAGGCTTCTTTATAAGACACAGAAAGAACAGAAATACCGTACTTTTATTTATACTGTTGCCATTCAGAATAAGCCAGTTCTTTAACAGAATTCAAGGGGGCCCTACTAGAAAACACATTGTATTAGAAAATGTAGAAGCAACTTAACAGCAGGCATGTGTTAAGCTCCTAGGATGGACAACTTGGATTGTTAAGGAAATACAAAACAGTCTAAAAATTGACTTCAAAACAAAACATGGCACAGATTTTTAAGGAACCTAGTCCATATAACCGCTAAGAAAGTGCTACTCAGCTTCTCAGGAGTACCTTTAGAGATACTAACTTAAACTTGGTTCTGCTGCCCTGACGGTGAGGAAATGATCAAGCCTCACAAGATACTCTAGTCAGGACTTGATCATAATTCTAATTCTTTAGGTCCCCATAAGATTATCAGTGTTGGGGCTGGAGAGTTGGCTCAGAGGTTTAGAGTGCTGGCTGCTCTTCCAGAGGTCCTGAGTTCAATTCCCAGCAACCACATGGTGGCTCACAACCATCTGTAATTTGATCTGGCACCTTCTTCTGGTGCCACACAATAAATAAAGCTTAAAACAAAAAGATTATCAGCGCCCCCCAATCAGCAGGAAATAGTCTGGAAAACTATGCCCACATTCCCAAAAAATGGATTATGGATGTTTCCCTTTGTTTAGAAGCTGGTTATTCATGGATAAAGGTCAGAAAGCTAAACAAAGGAAATTGGATTCAGAGTTCTTGTTTAAAAAAAGGGGGAGGTGCTGTGGGACAATGGCTGTACCCTGTCACTTGTATTTTAAATAAATACCTGTAGTGTCTAGGATGGGTAGTCCTACTGTTTTTTCTGTGTCCTCCTTTCCTGCATCTAAGCAAAGGTGTTTGTTGAGGAATAC